CTGGGCTCGTCACGACTTCATCTTTGCTGGGTGACTGAAACTTCGTCTTCTTCTTCTTCGTTGTGCTGCTTCAATTAAACCTTCTTCTTTTTTTTGCTGCTTATTCACTATGTTGCTGGGTGTTTTTTTTTCCTCCTCCTTCTCCTTCTCCTCCTCTTCTTCTTTGCTGGGTGTTGTCGTCTCTTTGTTTTTGTTTTTTTTTTTTTTGCTGCTTCGCTGCTGGTACTGGGTGTTTTTTTTTCCTTCTCTTTTTCTTTGCTGGGTGCTGTTCTCTCTCTGTTTTTTTTTGCTGCTTCTTCATTGCTGCTGCTGCTGGGGACTTTATTTTTTTCTCTTCCTCCTTCGCCTTCTTCATTGCTCTCTGTTTTTTGTATTCTTCTTTGGTTTTTTTTTTTCTGCTGCTATCGGTCTGTTTTGAGTCTGTCTCTGTTAGGAAAAACAAATTACAAATAATTAATTAATCACACATTACATTACACTGAAGTTATTTTCCTTTTATTAAATTTGTTGTATAGAAAGTGACATCTAAAAGTAATAGAAAAGATTCGGTGTGGAAACATGCCCATTTGATAGAGCCTAATAACTTAAATAGGTTTGAATGTAATTTTTGTGGTAAAGTATCAAATGGAGGTGTTTATAGGGTGAAACAACACCTTGCGGGAGGTTATAGGAATGTCACTGCTTGCTCAAAGTATCCAGCTCATGTAAAAGAAGAGATTAGAGAGTTCATGTCAAAAAAGAAGATGCAAAAATAAGAAATGAACACGTTGCCTGATTTCGATGACATGGATATGAAAGATAAAGATGTTGAAATCAATGTCAATCAACGCCGTAAGTTGACAAGTAGCAGCCAAGATTCATCCAAATCCAAAATGCCAAAGAGAAACGGGCCTATGGATGTTTACTTCACACCCAATCCAGAATCAGTGGTGAAAAATCGAAGAGATCAAGCAAAAGGGAAGCAAACACAAATTGATTATAAAAAAGAAATGAGCGCTCAGGTAATGCAAAGATTTGCAAGGTAGATGTATGATGCTAGTATCCCTCTTAACACTCTAAATTATGAGAGTTTTGGACCAATGATTGAAGAAATGAATATGTTGCCTAATTTCAGTCCAACACATTAGCTATTCAAAGAAGAAACGAACATGTTGCCTGATTTCGGTCCAAAACTCTCATAATTTACAGCATTGAAAGGGATACCAGCATCATACATCCACCTTGCAAATCTTTGCATTGCCCGAGCTCTCATTTCTTTTTTGTAAGAATCCTTCTCATCAATTTGTGTTTGCTTCCCTTTTGCTTGGTCTCTTCAATTTTTCACCACTAATTCAGGATGGGGTGTGAAGTAAACATCCATAGGCCTGTTTCTCTTTGGTATTTTTTGATTTGGATTTGGATAAACCTTGGCTACTACTTGTCAACTTACGGCGTTGATTGACATTGATCTCAACATCTTCATTTTCCATGTCCATGTCATTGAAATCAAGCAACATGTTCATTTCTTTTTGTTGCGTCTTCTTTTTTGACATGAACTCTCTAATCTTTTCTTTTACATAAGCTGGACACTTTGGGCAAGCAGTGACATTCCTATAACCATCTGCGAGATGTTGTTTCATCCGATAAACACCTCCATTTGATACTTTACCACAAAAATTACATTCAAACTTATTTAAGTTATTGGACTCTACCAAATGGGCATATTTCCACGCCGGATCTTTTCTATTATTTTTAGATGTCATTTTCTACACAACAAATTTAATAAATGGAAAATAATTTCAGTGTAATGTAATGTGTGATTAATTAATTATTTGTAATTTTTTTTTCCTAACAGAGACAGACTCAAAACAGACCGATAGCAGCAGAAAAAAAAAAAGAATAAAAAAAAAACAGAGAGCAATGAAGAAGAAGGGGAAGAAGGAGGAGAAGAAGGGGGGGGAAAAAAAAAACAGAGAGACAACAGCACCCAGCAAAGAAGAAGAGGAGGAGAAGGAGAAGGAGAAGAAGGGAAAAAAAAACACCCAGCAGCAGCAACGAAGCAGCAAAAAAAAACAGAGACAACAGCACCCAGCAAAGAAGAAGAGGAGGAGGAGAAGAAGAAGAAGAAGAAGAAGGGAAAAAAAAACACCCAGTAGCACAGCGAATAAGCAGCAAAAAAAAAAAAAAAAAGTTGAATTGAAGCAACACGGCGACGAAAAAGAAGAAGAAGGCGAACCTGAAGACAAAGTTGCAGTCACCCAGCAAAGATGAAGTCGTGACAAGCCCAGAGGAAAAGAAGAGATGAAGTCGCAACGAAGTTGCAGTCACCCAACAAAGATGAAATCGCAACGAACCTCAAGCTTTCCTCGATCGATTTTAGGGCTTTCAATCGTCGATTGATTTGGGTATTGAGTTGTATGAGTTGTAATCCTATGTGGTTGGACACTTTCAAACTCATATCAGAGCCATTAGATAAGCATTAGGAGAAGAAAGAAAAAGAAAAAGAAAAAGAAAAAAAAAGAAAGAAAAGGCACGCTTAAGCGTCACCTCCTTTTTGCGCCTAACCCAAGGCTCAGAGAAGGCGCAAAACTCATCCATATTGCCTTGCCTTGGGTCCCTTCAGTCGCAGCCCCTGCACCTCGCTACGCCTTGCACCTAGGCGCGCCTTTCACAACACTGGTTGGCTTCTAGTTACTAACCCTAGTAGTACGGTTCTTATATAAATGAATACGTATATGTATATCAGGGTATTAAGTAGTCCAATCTATGAAGCATGGACACGCCAAAATGGAAGCCGTGGCGGTGTCGGATACGGGGACACGCCGAGGACACGTACGGGACACGGCATCTGGCGTGTCCCCTTAATTTAATTAATTTTTATGCGAGGGACACGGCAGAGACACGCGTGTCCAAATCTGGACACGCCATGGGACACGGGAGAAGAGTAAATGAAAGAGAAAATGAGTACAAACCTGGTCAGCGACTTCTCAGCCTTCGATCTCGAGCCAATCGACCTCCATCCAATTCATTTCGACGATCCAGTCCACTTCAACTCAGAGCTTTCTCTCTCGCCTTCGGCTTCGCATTTGCAGAGCTCTCTCTCTCTTGCCTTCTCTCTCTCTCCCTCCCTTGCGATCGCGATCGTGATCGCTTCTGTCTCCCTCTCTCTCGCTGATCGCGATCGCGCAATCGCTGGTCTCCTCTCTCTCGCTGATCGCGATCGGTGGTCTCCCTCTCTCTCGCTTTTGCTTCTGTCTCCCTCTGTCTCTTCTGTCTCCCCCGTCTTTATCCATATAGGAGTATAATATATGTAACTATTATTTATTATAATAACTATTATTATATTATAATAACAATAACTATTATAATAACTATTATTATTATTATATATTATAACTAATAACTATTATAATTATATATTATATAATAGTTATTATATAACATAAATATACTTAGAAGATAATATATAATACAATGGTTATATATTATATAATAGTTATTATATAACATAAATATACTTATAAGATAATATATAATACATATTATAAAATAATATATACTTATTAATAAATAAATAAATATGTAAAATAAAATAAAAAAATTAATTAGAACACATTATTTAAAAAATAAAATAAATAAATAAAATAATTAATGTGCATTAAAATAAAAATATTTATAAAAAAAATTAAAAAATTTGCCGTGTCCCCTGCCGTGTCTGTGTCCCCATTTTTTAGAAATTGCCGTGTCCCGTGTCCGTATCCGTGTCCATGTCCGTATGCGTGTCCGTGTCCGTGTCCGTGTCCGTGTCCGTGCTTCATAGAGTCCAATTCACATTATACCATATTGGGTCATTATGGCCTCTTATTCAAACAGGGCCGGCATTGAGCAAAGGCGAGCAAAGTGGCCACTTAGGGCCCCTAATTTGTCTCAAAAAATGGGATCCCAGTTGGTTAAAAAACAAAATTAGAAACAAGAGACATGACTTCTAATGAACAAAAATCAATTTCAAGTAAGTGAATAAGGGGTGAAAAAAAATTACAATGAAGTTAAAATTGACGACAAATCTTAATTTCTATAAGCAAATCTAGAAATTTAAAGAACAACACATGGAATCCACTCAAGTCCTAATGAAACTCACAACAAAAAAAGGGGGTCAAATATGAGTTACATATTACAATGAAGTTAGAATACACAATGTATTTCAATTTCTATAAGAATCCCAAATTTTAACAAACGCATGGAATCCACATAAGTTCAAATCAAATTCACAACAAATTTCGTTATCTAATTTATTTATTTATTTTCACACACTCTCCTAAACCACTTTGCTCCCCCTTCTCTACACTCTCAGCTCACTTTTCCATCTCTTCAGCGTTAATCTTATTTCCTCCCAAGTATACAAGTATATATTATTAGTACTAATAATACTAACACATTAGCAACCAGGTAATAATACCACAACCTCATAATTAGCATCAACTTGAGCATGAAGTCTATGCAACAACAGTGAGCACTCCTAGATAATCAGACCACAAAACCTGGTCGCCTTGCATCCAACATTGAACTAAACAAACTTTTATCAAACAGATGGTGCTCATATGTTGTAACTTATCTATCTCTACTGCACCAATTAAAACTTAGCATAATATTCGAGTAATAATTTACCAAATTGCCAAATTAACAAAATCTTGATAGGGATCTAAAAAAATTAAAATTGTACAAAATTAATAATAAACCATGGCAACACATTGGTTAGCAGAGAACATCACATACTAAAACAATAGAGTGAAGAAAGGAATCAGAACTCACGGTGAGTGACTAAGCAAGAACTTGCTGACATATTCTTAAAAATGAAATCAAAGATGCAATGAGTTATTGTTTTGATTTGGAAATACAAATAGGCAAAGAGAAAGCGTTGCGTGTACAAGCCCTAACCCTAACCCTAACCCAAAAAAAATTGAAAGATAGGAAGAATAGAGTTAGAAAGAAAGAAAGAAATATGATCTAATGGAATGCTTTACCGCAAAGAATCGATGATGAACCATGCAATGATCGATCAATTGTCGTTCTTTTCATCGAAATTGCATCAAAATCGCCTTTCCAACGGTGCTCACTCTTCTCCAGATGATGGTTGTTGTGGTGGTGGTGGTGATCGGAGATGATGCTTGTGGTTGGATATACGGTTCGGCATTGCAGTCTCGCGAGCTTCAGAGTTCGCTGCCATTAAAAAAGGATGATCACCTTCATTCATTTTTTATTTATTTAATTTGATTTTAAATTTAAAAAAAAATAAATTAATTACTCTAATTTTTTGATTAATTTGTTATCAAAATATTTTTAAAAATTTTCATCTTACTCTAAATTTATCTTTTCATCAAATTTAATTAAAAACATATATTTTTAATGTTTTGTCGTTTTAATTTTCATCAAATTTTTAAAAGATTTAATAAATTTTTAATTTGATAAAAAAAAATGTCTCTCAATTGATTTGATGAATGAATTAGACAGTTTTGTAAGGGATGTCCAACTGTTTTAAATTGTTTTAAACAAAATTCAACTCATTTTTATAATATCTCAGTTTTTTGATAACTATGATAGAAAAATAAAATTATCTCTTTTATTGGCAAATCCAAGATTAAAAAGCCACTTCAATTTTTTATACCACGTTTTCAAACAAATTGACATTTTTTAGAAAAGGTTTGGAATTGATAAAAAATTAATAAAGAGAAGGTGAGGACTAAAGGTAAATAACAACGGATTTGTGTTACGGGAATAAATTATCTTCTACTGATATATTCAATACATTCATTGCTCATCAAAAGAGCATACATATATGGTAGGAAAGCAACACCCTTGTACTACACAACAATATCTCATTTCTCTCTTTATGCTTATCAAAAGAGCGCACACACATATATATAGATAGATAAGTAATCACCGACTTCACCAAGACTAAACTTCTATTCTCCATTTCTCCATCATTTTGTTATCTTCTTCTATAAAGTAATACATATTCAACCCCAATTGCATATCTTTTTATGGTTATCCAAATATTTCACAACACTCCTTAAATAACCATATACTAAAAATATGCCTCATTAAAACCTTACCTAGGAAAAAAAAAACCTTTGGTGAAGGAAAAAAATACAATATTCCTGTATGTAATTTGTTTAGATTGTCTTATTAAAACCTTACTAAGGAAAACCTAATGGGAAAAAGTCTTAGACGAAAGAAAAAGAGTACAATCTACAAATCTGCTTAAATAGATGACTCCCCCTCCATGCTGCATAATAGATATTTATGTTGACGCATCCCAATGTTATGCACCGGCTTCTTGAATGTTGCAGTCAGTAGTACTTTAGTAAATAGATCTACTAGATTATCAATTGAGCGTATCTTTGATATAGTCGCCTTTGATCTATGTGATACACGCAGCATTATCTTCATATAATATGGTTGGACTATCTTTTGTTAAAAACAATCCGCATCTTTCTTAAATATTATGGATCATGGATCTAACCCAATTACATTCTCAACTTGCTTCATGAATTGCAAGTATCTCTGAGTGATTTGAAGAAGTAATAGTCAATGTCTATTTTACTGATCGCCAAGATATGGCAGTATTTTCATAGATAGAAACATATCTTGTTTGTGATCTGGCTTTATGTGAATCAAAGAGATATCCAACATCTGTATCTCCAATTAGCTGCGGCCTTGATTTGTTTGAATAAAATAAACTCATATCGGTTATTCACAAAAATAACGTAATATCTGTTTTACTTCATTCCAATGGCTTTGGGTTGATATAGAAATATATCTTGCTAATAGATTGACTGCAAATGCAATATTCAGCCTGATACAATTTATAAGATACATAATAGCACTAATTGCATTGAGATATAGTACTTTAGGACCAAGAATTTCTTCACCATCTTTTGGAAGGCGAGAAAACCATTGGAGTATTTAATGGATGAACTTTTTTCATATAAAGGTGCTTCAGGACCTTTTAATTAATGAACAAGAATTCTATTTGGCAAATGTTCAATCTGCATGGCAATACAAAATTTCGTTTTGCTAAGATCTTTTATTTCAAATTCATTTTAAATATTCTGCAGTTTATGTAAGTTCTTCTGGAATTCCACAAGATTCAAATCTTCAACATATACTGTAAGAATTGCAAATCTGGATTCCTCACTTTTGGGTTTTGAATTAAATGTTTGTGGCACCGTAAATCCTTTAGGGACTTATATATATCACTATCTAGTGATCCATCAATATGCTGTAACTACATTCATTAAAAGCATATCTAAATTTTCTATGATTTCCAAACTGATGAGAAATCTAAATGCAATTGCATTCATTACGGGTGAATAAGTTTTCTCATAGTTAATTCTAAGTTCCTACAAGAAACCTTGCACAATAAGTTGCGCATTATATCTAACAAGTTCATTTTTCTCATTGCGCTGTACCACAAATACCCACTTACATCCAACAATACCCACTTATATTTGACAGGCTATGTCCCTTTAGGGGGTTAGACTACAGGTCCAAATACTTCACGTTTTTATAAGCAAGTTTAACTTTGCTTATATTGCTTCTTTCCACATAGGCAATTATTTCTACGTCATCATTCTTCGACGATTTGTGGTTTATTATCGTCATCATTTTTGATAATGTTTTCACCATTGCATTCGGTAATGTTTTCACTATTACTTCTGGTAATATCAAGAGCAATTTTAAACAAAAATATGTTGTCGACAATAGTTTAATTTATATCCCAAATATTTCCTGTACGTATATAATGTATTGAGATCTCATTATTTTCAGGTACCTTTTCTACCTCAAGGGATAACTATTCAGGAGGTTCCACTTCAGGGGATAACTCTTCAGGAGATTCCTCTTCTGGAGGTTCTACTTCAAGAGGTTTATAAGTAGGAGATTTAGATAGATTTATAACAGTCTGTTTTGTGGGTCTAGCCTCTCCAGGAGCACTAAGAATATTTTGTGGGTTTAGCCTCTTCAAGAGTGCTTGGTATAGTCTCTTCTGGAGCATCTCTTCAAAAGCGCGGATATAACCTCTTCAGGAGCGCTAGATATGCTCTCTTCAGGAGTACTAATTGTTTTTTTCTTTCAAAAAACTTTGTTTTTTGCACCAACAGGTCTACCACGTTTCTGGCGTAACTTAGATGCTAGCATATTGTTATTTAAGAACATCAATTCTTGCTGGAGCATAAGATGTTATTATACTTTTAGTGTCGGTGAAGTTATCTGGTAATGGATTTGCTTAATCTTGGCAAATAAATAATCCTTTGAACTTCTACTTCACGAGAATCAAGGTAAGATAACATCGAATTATTTCAACTGATTTCACGTCAAGTTTTAGGCTGCGACTTTTCTCTCCCTGATGATGGGAAGACTGTTTCATCAAAATGACAATCCACAAAGCATGTTCTAAATCCATTGCATGTTAAGGGTTCAAGATATCTAATAATAGATGGAGAATTAAAACAAACATAAACTCCAAGTTTACATTAAGAATCCATTTTGTTGTGCTAAAGGAGTGCAATAGAAACATATACAGCATAACCAAACACTTTAAATGAATAACAATTAATGGTTGACCAAATATAAGCTATCATGGTGAGTACTCATGTATACAGTTGGTCTAGCATGACCCCATGTTGAAACAAGTAATTTATTTTTCATGAGCAAAAGTTGAGCCATCAACTGAAGCCATTTAATTAAAATTTAAACTACACCATTTTGAGTATGAATATAGGTAGTAGGGTGCTTAACATTAATACCAATAGGTATGCAATAATCATTAAAAGTTGTGCTACAAATAAGACTATCTAGTTAATGTAGCTATCAAAATCATGAAATAATGAATAGTCCATATTGATATGAATGAGATAGTCTAATAATTAATTTTCTCAAGCAGAGCATAGATAATCACTTGGTAAAAAAATATTCTGGTTGTTTAATGAATGTCCCATTTGAATTTTCAATAATAAAATCCATCATTTTAGATACCGGATGTTTAGGCTAATCATGTCATAACATGAAAAGTTTTTTGGATTATAACACTTCTGGTGCATTCAGTTGAAGCACTTCTGGTGTATCACAACATTTGATTCAACTGCTTTTGTTGTCGTATAAGACAACCTATATAAATATCAAGGAACTTTCCAAGACCAGCTTCTAGTTGAAAACAATAGAAGTAATGTATAAATATTCTTCTTTACTTTTACTTATGGTTTCAATAACCAATACGACATATATCTTTAAAACTGAACATATGTCTTCTAGATTTGATAGAATATACTTCATCAATATCAAATTTGATTCTATTTTACAATTATAATATTGGCTCTTCCAAAGCTTTTAATCAATTTTGCAGAACTTGAGATTTTACATTAGCTTTTGTCAATATCAAAAAAAAATTCATTACAAAGAATTGTGGATGTCTTTATGCTATCTACTAAATAAATATTTTACTAAACATTTTAGAATTAGTCAATACATCAATACAATCCGTGTCTATAGACCATTAATTATCATTTCCAAAGCATGATCAAACAAGAAAATATAAATTTCTAAAACATAACCAAAACAAATATAATATTCAGGAATTAGTGTGAATATTTTCATCACCAATAATTTTTCTCTTTTCTTTTATTAAGGCTTGTTACCCAAAAGGAAAACACTCCAAGTAAGAAAATTTTCTATAGTAAAATATTGTTGATGAATAGTATTTTGAGAAAATTGTTAAAAAAATGCATAATGATTAATAAGGATGAATAGTGAATTGTCGGACGAAATCTTTCAAAACATGAATAGTAATTATTTATGCATAGTAATCACTCTATTTTCTAACAAATTTATTTATCATGCAATATACACCATGATAAGCAAGATGAATACATGCATACATACCTACACCATTCTTTGGAGATTTTATTATATAAACCTTTCTTCTTTTTCTTGTGATATCTCAGGATCATTCCACTTCAAGTGGAATTTCATAATATTTTTGCTCGAATGTTTCTGAACATGTACCCTACGGATTCTGTAATTTTACCTCAGTCATGTCCAAAACCATGACTTCTCCCTTGTCCAACCATGAAATGCAACTTCATTCATTTCAAGGAATGGAGCAAAGCCTGTTAGACGGGATTGATGATTTTTCAATAACAATTGCTTAGTTTATTTAGTCACAAGAAGGCATCAAATCAATTTAG